ATGTATGTATGTATGTATGTAGGTATGTATGTATGTATGTATGGATGTATGTATGTATGTATGTATGTATGTTTTTATATATATATATATATGTATATGTATACAGTCAGGTCCTTGAGAAAGAGAGCCCACGTGGTGCAGTCTATGTGATGCAAGCTACGTGGTGCAAGTGCAAGATCTGTGCCGTTGAGCCCACGTGGCGCCCACGGGCGAGGACTCGCCGACACTGCGATCTAACTCACACCCAGCACGAGGCGCCCACAGTGAGGTCATAGGCGAGCACAGAGTGGGCGCCGGGCGAAAACCGATCCACGAAGAAAGCAAGGATCATTCCGAATTGTCAGCACTGTTTGCAGAGACGAGGTCACAGTCAGGGTTTTCATGGAGGTCTCTGGGGGCCTTCTCGAGGTCCTCTGAGGGCCGTTTTGGGGGCCTCTTGGGCTGCCTCGGATGCCCCTGCAGCCTGCAGCTGTCTTTGGCTGATGAAGCGGGAGCGCGAACACCACAGCAATATTTTTCCAGAATCACGGATTTTGGCTTCTTCGTGCCTGCCTGGAGGGCCTCTTGACGCTTTTTGGGTCTGCTTCGGGGCCCTCGAGGCATATTGGGGCAACGGGAAGTCATCTTGTCTTGGCGCCGTCAGGAGGCCACACAGATCGCCAAAACGCACCCCCAGGGGGGGTGCTTTGCCATGGGGCGCTCGCTGAAAGAGGGGGGGGCACATAGATCGGTGGCCACTGCGAACCCTACCTCGCCACCCCACGATTTCTCAGGGGGGTGGTGGGGTAGTTTTCGCATGTGGCCTCCAAATATATCATGAAAGAGATGACGTAAAAAACGCCAGCGAGAGAAGTTCTGTGCAGGGCTTGGGCCCCCATTGGGAAGGTCCTGACGGGGGGGTTCGTGGAGCGCGGCGCGGTCGACGGTAAGAAAGAGCGACAGCGAGAGAAGTTTTGTACAGGGTTTCGTCCACAATCCTCGGTAGCAAACCGTGGGAGCCAGGTGTACTCTCTTAATTCTATCTTTCGCGCCGGTTAGCGTCGGTTATCATCTGGGGGTGGATGAGATAGCGCCACTTTAGCTTCGGTTAGCGTCGATTTAGCATAGGTCGGCGTGAATTTAGCGTTGACTAGCCTCGATTCGCAAGAGTCGACAAGATGGTATGGGCGGCTCCCGTGAATTGCCATCGAAAGATCCGGGGGGGGTCCGGGGGGGGGGCGTGGTCGGGCGTTATTTCCGACGCCCGCTCTGCGGGGGTCCTGTTGGCGGCCTTCGGCCCTGGAGGCCTCTTGCCCAGATGGCTTCCAGGACTGCCAGAGGTGCCCCCCCGGCGGCCTCAGAGATACGCGAGAGGACCCGAAGACGGTCCAAAAGTGCTCCCAGTCCCAGAGGGCTTCTGATGGCCCCGTCACGATCCAAGAGGTCCCCAAGACGCCCCAAGAGGCCTCCAAGAGGACTCCCAGGAGGCCTAGAGAAGGCAAACAGCACCAGTGTTCTTTACTTGTTTGAGGGATTTTTGGGTTCCTCCCTCTCAGGGCCAAGAACGGCGAAAGACGGCCCTGGGCGCCTCCGCGATCGCGCCGTAGGCGTCATAAGAGGGTTCCAGAGGGCTCCCAATCGGCGCTCCAGGGCCTCCAGACGGCCAAAGAGAGCTCCAAGACGGCCAAGGAGAACCCCACAGAGCCCCAAGAGGCTCCCAGGAGAGCCCCAAGGGGGGGGTCCTAAGAGGGCCCCCCGTGAGCGTCCCATGCCGGCCGAAGGCACCCCAAAACGGCCCAAGAGGGCCTGGGGATGCCCCAAGAGGGCCCCGAAACGGCCCGAAAGACCCCGAAGATGCCTCCAAGAGGTTCTCGAGATGCTTCTACGAACCTTTCGAGAGGCCCTTCAGGAGCGAGCAGTGATGCAACAAAAACAATGCAAGCCGGCCAACGCCCCCCAATACGGCTCAAGAGGGCCCCGGGACCCCAATTGGCCCCCGTCAGGCCCTCAAGATGCCTCTAAGAGCCCCCGCTTGAGCGAGCAGTGACGTAACAACAACATTGAACCTCAATTTTACCAAGAGCGAACGGTGACATAAAAAGCTCTGATCACCAAGGCCCCCAAGAGCTCACAGCGACGTAACTGAACGCCAAGGCTCCCAAGAGCCGTTTTGTGCGATGTTGGAGCCGCCCCGAATGGCGAAGCTTTCTTTCCGTTCCCGTGCCGGCCCAGGTATCACCAGACAACAGACGCCGCACCCCGCCGAGGACACGTTGGCGGATCGAGTCGCAGGGCATAATATGCGAATGCCGCAGCTCCCACCATCGAAGGAGCTGCTAAACGATTTAATGTTCTGGACAAGGTGCTTGTCGCCCACAAACTCCATGCGATGCCCGTGGGAGAGAAGCCGCCGTGTTGCGAGCGCCATGGCTTCGCAGCGTAATCCAACACACGGTGCACGCCCGCAGCGCGTCACTGGCAGCGGCACGGCGTCACAATACGAGTCAACGGGCTGCTGCCGACGGACAGGTGTGCCAGGGATTCCCCAAACGGCGGGCCACCCCCTAAGATTCTTGGCGACAGTGCTGTGTGTGCGGAATGCTGGCGCAGAATGTAAAACTCTTTGATTCCACCGTCAGCATTGTGCTCCTCCTGCCCCTCCCCCCTGCCCCCTCCTCAATCTTGTTTTGTATACCGCACCCTCCCCGCCCCAGTCAGATTTCACCGCCCAGAGCCACGTTCAGTATACAAAAACTGCGCCCCGGGAGGGACTTTTGTACACCAGACACCAGGACCCTCGCTCGCCCCCCGTATGCAAATTTGTCGGGCGAACTCCCGTCCTCATCCATCCCCATCCTCGTCCCCATCTGCCACCTCCTTCCCCTCTCCCAATGTATACAGCTCCCCTTCCCTCTGATGGCGCACGGCACGATGGGGTCCTTTGGCGGGTTCCAGGTCCGCCATTACACCCGTCGGCGAGTGGAGAAAAAATCGGTGCAATGGTAAGGAATGGGCGGGAGCTTGGCATCGCTCGGACGTGTGCATTTTCGAACCGCGAGGACCATCGAGGAGCATCTGAGATCATCACGCGAAAAAAAGAGCGCGCGAAATCGGGAACTGCACGCGGAATGGAGGGCCGAGCGATGGCGAGGGAGGGGTGGGATGTCAGGTTCTGGCGCGAGCGCACCCAGCTTCACCCTGCCCCCTTCCCCTCCCCCAGTGCTCTCCGACGCCGTGCCCTCTTCCGGGGGGGGGCAGTTTTGTATGCCGACCCATTTCTCCCCGGCCCTGGTGCCCGGCGAGGGCCCCCCCGGGGCGGAAGATGGCCAAGAAACGCCCTCTCCCCGGCCTCGCTCCCCAGACCCCCTCGCGTTGTGAACAAAAGTCACGACGGGAGGTCGTTCGCCACTTTCGGCCTCCCGGGGGCCCTCTGTCAACAGAACGACTCGGGATGAGAAGCCGGTCCCGGGGACGGGGTCCAGGCTCCCGGGGGTCGACGTTGTGAGAAAGTCATGACGTCGGGGGTCTGGGTCGGCGGCGAGCCCCAGGGTTAAGTCGGGCGCGTCCCTCTACAGGAGGAATGTTCCCACATAGTCAACAAATAGTTTTGAACATCCGCCTGTAGGGGGACATGCCCGACCTAACCCCAAGGGGCGAAGGGAGAGGAGGCAGACCTTCTCGGCGGAAGGCGGCCAGGCGTCTCAGAGGCCCTCGCGCCCCCTGAGAAGGTCCCTGTGTCTTCGCAGAAGGCACACGGTCGGACCGACGTAGAAGGTCGAGGTCGGTTCGGGGAGGGTACCCTGATGTTCTTCGTGTCTGTTGGACGTTCTTGTGCATCCTGGGGGAGGGTACCCTCGAATGCTCCTCAGTTTGGCCGGCCGAGGGTGTCTTGGAGGATGTTCTTCTGTCCTACTGGGATGGGCACGGGGGTTGCTAAGGGTATAGGGGGGTATCAGTGGACGCCAAAGGGGGTTATACCTTGCCTAATCTAGTTTATCAGTGGGTTACACATAATACCCCAAGTGGCTTTGGGGGATCAGTTAACTCCGCTAATTGGGCGGAGCCCACTTCGACCCCCCAAGCCACTTGGGGCATCAGCAACCCACTAGTGAGCTAGGTTAGGCCAGATGTAATCCACCTTGGCATCCACTGATAACCCCCCTGTCCCCTGAGCACCCCCCGCGCTCATCCCCGCAGAGGTCTCGACCCCTCCCCCGGCACCGGTCGTCCATCCCCGATCGCTTCTGGACGGCCCCGAGGCCCACGTCAAGGCCCCCAGGGGCCGCGGAAGCATCGCCTTCCCCCCCCCCCCCCGCCGTGCTTTCTTCCTGACCCGAGGGGGTCTGCGCCCCTCTCCCTTCCCTCGTGGGCTCGCCGCTGGCCCGCGCCCTGCGGCCTCCTCCCGGCGCGCCCTCGGAGCGGGCTGCCAGCCGGGGTGTCCGCTCCCACTGCCGCGGCAGTGGCGCCGGGCCCGCGCGCCCCGAGGCCCCCCGGCGCCAGCGGCGCGGTCGAGGAGGTCCTCGTTCGCGGCGGAGCGCAGGACGCGGCCTGCTTTCCTCGAGGCCTCCCAGATGGGGTCGGCGTGGATGGGGTCGGAGGATCGCGAAGCACATCGCCGACGCGTCGCCACTGCATCGCCGATGCGGCTCGGTGTTATGCCTGATTTACTCCGCGCTGGTGTCGCCGAAGCATCGCGAAGCGCCGCCGACGCCGCCCGATGCATCGCCCGAAGTCCTCGCTCGCGGCGCAGCGGAGGACGTGGCCTGCGTTGGAGGACAGAGTCTGCTTGCTTCGACGCAAGACCAATCTCTGAGGCGTGGGCCAAATACCGTTCTCACTTTCTGGCCACAAGCGTCTACAGACGCATTTGATGTCTGTCATAACTATGCAGGTATGCATGTCTGTCTGTCTGCCTGTCTGCCTGTCTCTATGTAGGTATGTATGTATGTATGCATGCATGCATGCATGCATGCATGCATGCATGTATGTATGTATGTATGTATGTATGTATGTATGTATGTATGTATGTATATATGTATGTATGTATGTATGTATGCGTGCACGTATTGCTGTATGTATGTATGTATGTATATATGTATATATGTATGTATATATGTATGTATGTATGCATGTATATATGTATGTATGTATGTATGTATGTATGTACGTCTGTATGTATGTAATGCAATGCAATGCAATGTAATGTAATGTAATGTAATGTAATGTAATGTAATGTAGTGTAGTGTATTGTATTTTAATGTAATGTAATGTAATGTAATGTAATGTATTGTAATGTAACATACTGTAATGTAATGTATGCAATGTAATGTATGCAATGTAATGTAATGTAATGTAATGTAATGTAATGCAATGTAATGTATTGTAATGTGTTGTAACGTAATGTATATATGCATGTATGTATGCATGCATGCATGCATGTATGTATGTATGTATGTTTGTATGCTTACACGCACGCATGCATGTAGGTACTACATACATGGGTATCACGCGCTGATAGTTTGTATATGGTATTGCATCACGTCATCGTGTGGTATATTGTATGATGTCACAGTACACTTTGGTACACTATGATATAGTATATGGAATATTTCACGGTATACTGTGCTGTATGGTATCATAGTACGCTCGCTGTTAAGTTACCATGTAATGTTGCATCATATCATACTATCATACTGGATAAAACGCCCCAATCAGGGCTATAAGGGCTAGGGGGCTATAGGGCTATTGAGCTATAGGGCTATCGAGCTACAGGGCTATAGAGTTGTAGGGCTATTGGGCTATAGGGCCATAGGGCTATAGGGCTTAGGGCTATAGGGCTATAGGGCACCCCCAGGCACCCCCGGGCACGCCTGGGCACCTGGGCACCCGGGCACCCGGGCACCCGGGCACCCCCGGGCACCCCCAGGCACCCGGACCCGGGCACCCCCGGGCACCCGGGCACCCGGGCGTGCAGCGAGAATCGGCGACAAACCTAACCTAACCATATGAATCCGCTAGGATCTTTACAGAGGCAAGCATCTTTTTGTGATGAATTGGGTTTTATTCAATCGCTTCGCTCATTCCGCCGGCCCTCGAGCGCTCTATGGGGCCTTTTTGAAGCCTCTTGGGGGCCTCTTTGGGGCCTCCTCGGGGCCTCTTGGGGGCCTCTTGGGGGTCTCTTACGGCTCCTTGGCTGCGTCTTGGGGCCCCCTTGGGCCTCTTGGGGGGCTCTTGGGGGCCTCTTGGGGCGGGGTAGCCGAGTGCCCCTCCCTCGGAGGCCACGATCCTCGTGAGGGGTGTCGGAAAAAGGCCCTCAAAACCATCTCTGGGTAGACTTGGTCGGGCTGCGGTCGGGATACTTTTCGCCGGGGGACCCCCAGGGGCCGCCCCGCGCGCGCGAACTAGAAGTATTGTTAACCAGTTGCCGGAGATCTTAGCACGCCTCTGGCCCGTCTGGCCGGCGAATTTCCGCGTGCTCAATTATAGATTGTTTCATTTAATGATGTATCTTAGAAGGTGTCATACCATGTCAGTTGTAGCACATTGCATCATCATATTGCACAAATTATTCTCTCAGTCAGTACTAAGGTGTATAAGTTCATATGATATGTTAGTATTTCATATTTGGCGATGCCACATTTAGACATTCGTCATCATATAGTAAATTGATGTATGTTGAATCAAGCCGTATGAGAATACCTCATATTACATCACATGATAATGCAACGCATTCCACCATGTTGTATCATACTGTCTTGCATTATCTTACACTGTGTTCTATGCTACACAGTATCATGTTACATGGTATTACTCAGTATGTATTGCCGTAGTTCATATTTCACGCTGTGCCTCTATAGCTTATTACATCGTATGTTGTTGCTTTATGTTTAATGCAACATGTTTTACCACATCACGTGTACAATTTAATTTCGTCCATTGCATTATACTATAGTCTAATATGTGCTGTTCGATCCAATGTGACTCTTGTATATTCAATGCCATTCTCTTCTAGTCTGATCTGCTCTCTTGTATGTTTATAGTATGCTATGCATTACGCCATGTTCTGTTTGACCATATTTTAGTATAGGGTAGCTATTATTTATCCTTTTAAGCCGTACGATGCTCCATTGCAGTCTAGTAGTATTCCTTGTGATCCGATAGCATATGGGCTTACATTCCGAATGACGCATCTCAGCATTTGCTGCTGTTGTTATTGTTATTGTTATGAACATTATTATTGTTATTCTTTTTTATTCGTATTATTATTACTACTGTTAATATTATCATTATTTTCTTATTATAAGTATTCATGTATCTATATACATATATACATGTATATATATATATATATGTGTGTGTGTGTAGCGAGAGAGAGCCAGGAATCGACTGGCGAGCTTCGGACTCGGGAGCCGTGCCTGGGCGGGACTGGGGCCTCTCCCCCAAAAAGCGGCTGCCAGTGTCGCCGAGACCGCCAGGGCGCTGCTGGAGATCAGCTCCCAGGCCGTGGGGGTCTACCACCACGACAGGCCCAGGCTGGTCCTCTCCTCCTCGACGCCCCCCCCTGCCTTCCGCATGGTGCGACCTCCCACCCCCGATCTGTGCCATTGGCCGTCCCGCCCGCCGCCCGCCAGTGCCTCGCCCCTGCTGCTCCTCATCCGTCTCCTCCTCCTCCGCCTCCTCCTCCTTATCCTCTTCCTCCCTCTCCTCCTCCTCCTCCTCCTCATATCTCCTCCCTCCTCCTCCTCCCCCTCCTTCTCGTCCTTGTCCTCCTCCTTCTCCTCCTCCTCGTCCTCCTCTCCTCCTCCTCCATCCTCCTCCTCCTCCTCCCACCCTCCTCCCCCTCCTCCTCCTCCTCCTCCTCCCTCCTCCTCCTCCTCCTCCTCTCCTCCTCCCGCTCCTCCTCCTCTCTCCTCCTCCTCCTCCTCCTCCTCCTCTCCTCCTCCTCCTCCTCCTCCTCCTCCTCCTATGCTGCTGCCCCTCCGGCTCCGAGCTTGCTCCCTCTCTGCTGCTTCCAGCTTCCCCCTCGTTCTCCTCCGTGGCCCCCCCTGCTCCCTCTTCTCCTCCCCGTCCGCGCGGCGGTTGTGTGCGCCGCTCTGACCCGTGGAATCAGGTCGCGAGTGCCTCATCGGGCCCCTCCGAGCCTGGTCCTCCTCGCCCTCCTCCTCGCCCTCTTCCCCGCTTACTCTTCCTCCTCCACCTCCTTCTCCTCCTCCTCCTCCTTTTCCGCCTTCTTCTTTTCCTCCTTGTCCCTTCCCTTCTCCTCCTTCTTTTCTTGCCTGTCCTCCCCCTCCTCCTCCTGCCTCCCTCCCTCCCTCCCTCCCTCCCTCCCTCCCAGACCAGGCCGCGCGACTGGTGCAGGGCGCTGCAGGTCGTCGTCGACGGCCTGGACGTGTCCGGCCACCACGATGGGAGGGCCTCCCGGACTCCGCCGCGGAGACCCCCTTCCCCCCCCCAGCCTGCGACCAGGGACGACCCGCGCGGCGGGGGGGGTCAGCTACACGTATAAGCGACCTTTCGCCCGACCGACCTGAAGTGCTCTAGGCCTCCTAGATGGGGTCCGAGTAGATGGGGTCGGATGATCGCGCCACATCGCCGATGCATCGGCGATGCGGCTCGATGTGGAGCCCGATTTTCTCCACGTCGACGTTGCCGATGCATCGTCGCCGATGCATCGCCGATGCATCGGCGATGCAGCGCGATCCTCCGACCCCATCTACTCAGATCCCATCTATGAGGAGGCCTCTAACGTAAGAGCGACCTTTCGCCAGAGCAACCTTCTAGTGCGGGCAGACGGGGGTCCCCAGACCCAGACATCCAGCGTCTCGAAACAATCGAGACGTTTTTGTTTGATCGTTTTCGGCGTCTCGGGGCCCTTACCAGGCCTCGGGACCGTCAGAAAGCGACTCGGGAGGAGGAGGAGGAGGAGGAGGAGGAGGAGGAGGAGGAGGAGGAGGAGGAGGAGGAGGAGGAGGAGGAGCCGAGTTGGGAACTCCTCGCGGCCTCGCGGCATCGAGTCCAGACACGGGCTCGTCGCCGCTCGGGGCCCGGTCGCAGTCTGGCGGCCTCTCGGTCTGCCGTTACGTCGGGTCCTCGTCGGAAGTCTCTCGGGACCCACGAGGCTCTCGGTGCCCTGTCGGGACTCTCTTGGAGCCTTGTTGGGTCGCTATCGAGAGCCTGTCGAGCGCGCCTTCTGGGCTCGTTGGGCCCGCTGCCCTCTGCAGATGGGGAATCCCCTTGGCCCCTCTCTGGACCTCCTTCGGGTCCCAATGGCGGGTGGGGGGCCGCGGTAGCGAAGAAGGACAAAGAGTGAGGGGTGCAGGGAGGGATGGAGGGAGGGAGGAATGGAGGGAGAGGGATGGAGCCCGAGGACGGGACGGATGGAGGGGAGGGCGGAGGCGGAGGGGCGGTCGTGGTGGGTGGACGGACGGAGGGAGGGGTGGACCCAGATCTCCGACGTCGTGATGGTTCCACGTCGTCGACCTCCACAGGCCTTGGCTCCCTCCCCGGGACCGGCTCTTCATCCCGAGGCCGTCTCTGGACGGCTCCGGGGCCGGGCGAGGGCCGAAGCTCGCCCAGAACCTCCCGCCGTGACTCCTTCGCGACGCGACGCGAGGAGGCGGAGAGGCGGAGGGCCGAGGCGGAGGGGCGGTTTGCTGGGGCAGGCCCGAGCGGTCGGCGGGGCGCCGCCCCGCCCGCCACGTGGCGGCAGCTCGGCCAGCGCCGGGCAGCTGCCGGCTCTGCGGGAGCCCTGAGGCGGGGGATCCACGCGAGCGTGAAGGCGGGCGGTGTCCCTCCGCAGGAGGGGTGCGCAGGAGCGGTGCGGGAGCAGGCTGGTGACGATCCTCCGTGCCCTGTGGGTCCTGGTGGAGCATCGCGTGGCCATTAGTATGCCTTCTTTGTTCTTCCAGCATCCGCCTGTAGGAGGGCATTCCCGACCTAACGCAAGCGGGGATCAGCCAGAGCGCTCGGTCTTGCAGGATCCTGCAGAGCCAGGGGTGCATTGACCCCGGCTAGCGCGCAGGATCCTGCAGAGCCCGACCGACGAGGGTTTAGATTTGGATAGACCGGGGGGTTCGGTGCCACCCAAACATATGAATCCCATGCGCTGGTTGTGCTACATTGCGCCTGAGAAAACTCAATCAGTGGATAATTTGAAAATTGCTACTACGGATCTTGAGATCGATTGTGAGATCGATAATGTGATCGATAGTGGAATCGATATTGAGGACGATTGTAAGGTCGATTGTGGGATTGAGAGTGACATCGATTCAAAGAGATCGATAGTAAGATCGATCGCGAGATCGCTCATGCGATCTCCAGTGAGATCGCTTGTGATATTGATAGTGAGATCGATTGAGATCGATGGTGAGATCGACCGAGAAGTTTGTAATGAGATCGATGGTGAGACCGATCGATAAGAAGATCGACCAGGAACCCGGGAACCCCGGAACTTCGCCGCCCTCCGAAATCGGCCCGGAACCCAGAACCGGGAACCCGGGAATCCGGAACCAGAAACCCGGGAACCCGGGAACCCAGCTTGCCACCAAAATCGGCGGGGAACTTTCGCCAAATCCTTCAATATCCGCTAGGACCCCTTCAGTGTAAGCACTGATTGGGGAATGTTCTTGTTGGACGCACGCCTTCATTGAGGACACATAGTACGGTCGGACCGAGGTATCAGATCGAGGTCGGTTCAGGGAGGGTGCCCTAATGTTCTTCGTGCTTGTTGGATGTTCTTGTGCACCATGGGGGAGAGTGCCCTCGAATGCTCTTGAGTCTGTCCAGCCGAGGGCCTCATGTTCTCGAGGCATGCTCTTCTGTCCTGCGTCCGACTGTACATTTTTCGGGTCGGACGCACACCGCCGAGGAGGACACATCGTGCCCGTTTGTCCTTGTGCGTCCCATGGGTCAGTATACAGTCAGCCCGCGTTAGTAAGGATGGGCAACCCTCGCAAGGGTTCCCTTGCAGCCTTGCCTCCTCGGCCCATCCTTGGCCACTTTCGCTGGCCGCGCCCCGCTCGAAAAGCTTCGAAACGGCCTTCCAAGGCCCTTGCATCCTTATCGCGCATCCTTATTAGGCGGGCTGCCTATAGTGGAACGCGCCTCCCTAACGACACGCACGCCGATGTATGACCTGGAGTCTTGTGTTTCTATTGCATCTTCGGGGGACCTCGCCTGTCCCCCGAATCGGTGTCCTTTCTTGGGTCCGGCGCGGGCTCGATGCGGACTCGACGCGGACTGGACTCTACACGGACTCGACACGGATTCGACACAGATCCGACGAGTCCGATCTTTGTGCATCGTTATCGCTCATCCTTAGTAGGAGAAGAAGATGGTAGTCGTGAAGTACCCGAACTCTGGAGTAGCTTCACCTTGAAACTAAAATCACCCCCCAGCATCACGAACCACTTGAGAAGATGTAGCCCTTCAGTCATGTCGGTGCCCAAGACAACGATCGCGCATCCTTATCGCGCATCCTTATCGCGCATCCTTATGATCCGGGCCGACTGTGTATCCCCGAGCTCTCCGGCGAGGGCGCCCGACTGCCTGGCGGCCGCCCACCCGGGGCGGCCCGGCGTGGCCCGTCTCGGGCGGCGAGGTGCCGCGCACGGTGCTCTCCTCCCCCCCCCTTGGGGCGGGCAACGGCGACGGGAGGGCGGAGGCAGAGGCGGAGGAGGAGGAGGAGGCGGATGATGATGATGACGCTGATGATGATGATGATGATGATGATGATGATGATGATGATGGTGATGATGATGATGGTGATGATGGTGATGACCATGATGATGATGCTGATGATTATGATGATGAGGTGATGGTGATGGTGATGGTGATGGTGATGGTGATGGTGATGGTGATGGTGGCGGCGATGATGATGATGATGATGATAATGATGATGATGATGATGATGATGATGATGATGGTGATGATGATGATGATGATGATGATGATGATGATGATGATGATGAGGATGATGATGATTATTATGCTGGTGATGGTGATGGTGATGGTGATGGTGATGGTGGTGGTGATGATGATGATGGTGATGGTGATGATGGTGATGATGATGGTGATGATGCTGAGTATGATGATGCTGCTGATGACGATGCTGATGATGAGGATGATGCTGATGCTGATGCTGATGCTGATGCTGCTGATGATGATGCTGCTGATGAGGACGAGAAGGAGGAGGAGGGCACGAGGGAACGAGGCGAGGCGCGCGCGTCCGACGGACGAACACGCGGCGGCTGAGGCGGGGGCCAGCGGGCCCCACATCAAAACATAAGCACAGAGCACCTGCCGAAATTGGTGTCGACGACGTACTCCCATGCAGCAGTGCCACGGACTCGCGGGGACCTCCCCCAGCCCACTACCAGCCTGGACTGGCAGCCAAACACCCCCGCCAGCGGCGGGGGAAACATACCCATCCATTGTAGTACCAGCGCACGCCAGCCAATGAACATAACTGCTGCAACCGACGGGCCTGTAGTACTTGTAGCACCAAGTCGTTGCTGCCGTGACCACTCCAGATGGAAGGCAAGCCACCTGTCACCAACGGGTGGCCAGAATCTCCCTCACGGGACGCTCCCGAAGCGCTGGAGTGAGGCGGTGCGGGACGCAAGCGCGACCATCACCAATGGTCGGCCAGAACTCCCTCTCGGGACGCTCCCGCACCGCCTCTGGCCACAGCTTTTCCCACGTCAGAAGGCAAGCACACCCGTCACCAACGAGTGGCCAGAACTCCCACACGGGACGCTTCTGAGGGGGAGAAATACAAACAATACCGATGCCCTGGGCTCGCGGGGAGCTCCCCCAGCCCACTACCAGCCTGGGCTGACAGCTGTGGACCCCGCTTGCGCGGGGTGAATTCAAGAAAATACATTGACCCACCATCATAAGCCATTCCAATGCACAAGTAAGCAAGCAGTATCAGACAAGCCCAGAAAACCAGCCCACTCCCATCCCGCCCCCCCCCCCCCGCCCTTGCTGGGCAGCGCGGGCGCCCCCCTCGCCCTTTCGCCAACGTCGCGCCGGCGACCCCTCCCACGCGCCGCCCGGCCCTTCCCCGGCGGGGCGGTGGATGGATCCCGCAGAGGGCAATCCCCAGCAAGCCGCATCGCGCTGGGTTCGGGCGGCCACCCCGCCCAGGTCGCCGCCGTAGGGTCCGCAGCCTCGTCGCGGGCGGCTCTTCTCTCCCGGCGCCTGGCCCGGCCTGTCTGCTTGCGGCCGCTGCTTTCTGTCCTCCTTGTCCTCCTCCCCCTCCTCCCCCTCCCTTGGCTTCTGCTCGTTGCTTCCCTCCCTTTCCTTTCCTCCTGCTCCCTGCCTGCTGTCTCCGCCTGGCCCGTCTTCTGCCTGCCCGCCCGCCCCGCCGGCCCTGGCCTCCCGCCTGGGCGTTCGTCGTCGTCTGCCTGC